CCTCGTTTGGCGCCTTGCGCGTGCGCTGTGAGGGGGCGCGCGCAGGGCGGGCTGAGGCGGGAAGGCGGCGCTGAGGGAGCGGCGGAGCTGAGGGGTTTCCTTGTTCGCTGAGAGGTACCGGCGAGCGCCGTTCGCCGCTGGGATGGCCGCTCTCGGCGCCTGGGAGTATCACCGACCGTCTCTGGGGCCGGTTCCCCTTCCCGCCTCGCCGGTGCTCCCACAGCGGCTTCCCTGTCACGGTCGGCGGGAGGAGGGTCTGGGGGTGCCGGTGGAGCTCGGCCTTTTGTCCCAGGAGGGCGGGCAGGACTTGTCACTGCTGTTTAGGTACATCCCTTTGGAGGGCTGCAGGGTAACGCCCTGAGTGTCCCAATTCCAATGGCAGGCGGGTTGGAGCTAGATGATCTTTAAGCTCCTTTCCAACCCAAACCATTCTGATTCCATGACTCTGCAGCTCACTGTGGTACCTTGTGTGAAGCCAGGCTTGTCTGCACTTTAAGGGTGCAGCTCACTCTGCTTTTTTCCTCCAGAGCTGTACCAGCCCTCCTCTTCCCTGCCAGCTGCACATTCCCAGCCCAGGTTGTGCCAGCACAGCTGTTTTCGTGGGGCCACACGCACTGAATTGGGCCAGTGAGCTGTTCTGGTGTTAAAAATAGCCCTGCAAAAGAAAAAGTTTATTTTTACCACAGGGGCCTGCAGAAAAGGGAAAAACTTGAGTTCTACCGGTGCCGCAGGAATGTGTGTGCGCGCACAAATGCACAAATTAAGGATGATGTCTGTAAGAATGGAGCAATATTTACCACTGGATTGTTCTCTAAGGTCTCTTAAATTCCAGAGTGATATCTATAAATGTGTATTGAATTCTGTTCCACCTCTGCTCAATTCTCTGAGCTTTTTTTTCCAGAAAGGAATGCGGTTTTTGAACTGTGTGGTCTCCATGTGGCAGCACTTGCACAAACATGATGTTATAGCACAGCTGTCCTTAACCATGAGGGGGCTGTGTCCCTGCCTGGCTGATGGCATCTCTACTTTCTTCTAGGGCACTTTGGAGCCCTATAACTGTCTCAGGGATGGGACTTTGGCATTGTGGCAGTTGCCTAGGGTTGTATTAACCTCCACAATATCCCAGTGAGAAAATAATTTGGTCATGCAGGTGGGAGCCTGTGGTTCACTGAATATTTAAAAAAACACCAGGTGCTTGATTTCAGCTTATCCGATGGTTTAACAAATGAACATCCTTCCTCTGCTGATCCTGTTCTCTCTCCAGATGGACTGTAGATAGGAGTCAGTCGCAATCTATTTGGACGCTTGAGTCCCAGTTTCCCTGGTGACGTGTGGCGTTCGCTAGCCGGTTGCAGAAATAGAAACCAGGTTTTTCACAGCTTTGAAAAGCTGCAGGTCCTTGTTGAGAGCCCGGGACACTGGGAGAGTTAAATCACAGCAGCAAGAAAAGATGTCCATTCTGTTCAGTCATTCACAGACTTCAAGCAAACAAACCGTGACTTTCTTACAATGGCAAAACCCACCATTTTTCTGGCTACTGCCAGACTGTTGTAAAAAAGTCTCCTTTCGACTGAGGGCCCACAGGCTGATTTTTTTCCTCCCTCCTTTCCCAGTCCCCACCCTCGTACCCTACCTCTCTCCCCCTTTTTCAGCTGAACCGCAAAACTGCGGGAGGTTTTGGGTTTTACCAGGTTTGGGTTTCTCTGCTGGAAGCGGCTGAGAATCTTATAGCAAGAGCTCCCTCTGGTGGTCAGGGACGGGGAAAGGAGTAACGCTTCCCTGCCATGAGACACTCTGTTTTTACACTAGAATGATTTCTAAAGTCACTTTGAGGGTCTTCGTTATTTGTAACACCCTTTCCTTATTTAGGGTTCTCCAGGATAATGACAACCTTTTCCCGAACTCCCTTTTCCTTCAGGAGTTCACTACCCTTCACCCATCCGTTCTGCACAAGGGCTACGATAAAGGTGGAGCCTTTCTTCCCGGGGCTGGGGGACTGCAGCCTGAGGTGAACGTGAAAGAAAGTCTCAGAAGAATAAACCTAAATCAGCTCCTCATTCTGAAGAACTCCCTGTTCATAACGAGATTCTGAAAGAAGTTAAATATCAAGAGAATATTCCATTCACCGACCTGGCAGTAAAAGGCCTCCTCAAGAACTGTTTTTCCTCTCCTGATTTGATTGTCCCGTTCAGCCTAGAGAAGATTTTTTTTTCCTAAGGAGCTCTAAACCGTTGGCAACTGATCTGAAGCCGCAGTTGATCGGTAGAAAGTTTCTTGCCGAGTTCAGTGAGGGAAGTCTTGAAGCTCTGCCAGGCGGCGCGCGCTGCGGTGCAGCCGTGCTCTCTCCTGGGTGACATTTCGAGGATGTTAAAACAAAATAAGGAAACATCTGGTTTAACCGAGGGAGGCGTCGTTTGCTAATGACAGCGGCCTGGTGTCACACCGTCCTGCCCCAGCCAGGGCTTGAAGGCTTTGGCTTGGGAAACCTGATCTAGATCACGTAGGGCAACACCGTGTCCTCCCTCCAAAATTAAAACTAAAACAGGAAAAGGTGCGTCTTTTGGGTTCTTTTCCCCGTGAACCTCAAGAAATAGCGTTTTCTGCCATATAAATGTGTTTCCTCTTGGAATTATTACAGAATCTGTTTCTCGCAGGAGGTGTCTGTGTCCTGTTTGCTCCTGGTGTTCCCGTTCTGGGTGGGTGGCCTCTGCTGTAACCGGTCACTCTGGCCTCGGTGGTGTCACCTGCGTTGGAGGGTCCTGCCCGCTGCGCGATGTCACCTCCAAACACAGCACTTTGGGTGAACACAGGTGACATGGGCTGTTGTGCAAAGACCTGTGCGCAGAGACTTAAAAATAAATAAGGTTGGAGTGTGTGACGGGTAGCGAGAAGATAATTAGTCCCCCTGGGTTGTGTGTAGGGGAGGAGTCTTTATGTTGCCACCTGCAAAGTGTCTTTGTGATAAGGTCAAAATTTGGTAGTGGATTTTGCTGAGAAGTCCCGTCACTTTGGGAGGGAAAGGGACACATTGCAGGGGATGGGCTGGAGGGTTTTGGGTTTGAAAATGTCCAGAACAGGAACGGAGAGGTTCCACAGCCGGGAAAATATCAGGAATTGGCTGGTGTGACCAAAGTGGGGTGACAACGTGGGCACGGAGCCCCTCGGTTGCAGTGTCACAAGCTGGAAATGACGATGCCGAGGCAGGAGTGAGCCCTCGGCCAGAGCGGGGTTCTGCTCCCCTGTGAGCAAGGGGGATAGAGCTAATTAGTGTTAATTAGGGGAACGAAGAGCTTGTCGCGTGGGCAGAAGGGGGGTATCCCTCTGGCTGCTCTCTCCAAACTGCCCACACACCTGGGGTGGGAAAAACAGCTTTTGACCAAGAGAATAAACCGAGCCCCAAAACAATTCGATGTGGACACTGCGGAGAGCTGTTCGCTGGAAACGAGCTGTGTTTGACCAGAAGCGTCAAATTCCGCCGGGGTCTTCCTCTAGTATGGAGGGGTGGGAATGACTATTTTAAGAATCCAGACCGCTGTTTAAACAAATCGCTGCGGGAAGCAGAGCCGCCTATATCAAGGTCTGTCTCCGCACACGCCGCGCTCCGCTCCCCGCGGGGAAAATGGCGGCGCCCCCCAGCTCCCCGTGGCGCTGGAGGACCGGCGGCGCCGCGCTCTCCCCTCGTCTCTATGGTCCGAGACCCCCTCTCCAACCGCCTCTCGCCTCCGGTGGCGCTCTACCCGCCCGGACGGTCTCGGTGGTGGTTCCGGGTGGCGGCGCTCTGGGCGGCGGGGGTGCCGTCTCGCTGGCCGGGCGGAGGGCGGGCCTGGCGGAGCCATGGCGGCCGTGCGGGGCCTGCGGATCTCGGTGAAGGCGGAGGCGACGGCGACAACGGCGGAGCCTCGCGGCCCGGAGCCTGAGCCTATGGAAGTGGAAGAGGGCGAGCTGGAGACCATCCCTGTGAGGCGCTCGCTCCGGGAGCTCATTCCGGTGAGGGGCGTACGGTGGGGTCACGGGCAGGGGGGGACAAGGGGACCTGCTCCTCAGGGGGGGACGAGTATGTGTGGGGGTGTGAGGGGCTGCGGGGGCCTGTAAGGACATTTGGGGGTACCTTCGTGGGAAAAGAGGCGACGTGGGGTGCGTGGGGGGAAGCGATGGGGTGAGGGTGGCGGGAGTGGGGGCATGAGGGGGCTTAGGGGTGTCTGAAGGGAGTGTGGGGGCAAGTTGTAAGAGGAAGCGGCCGGGATGTGGTTGGGAATGAAGGGAGTAAAGGAGGGGGTGGAAAAGAGGATTTGGGCTGTAGTGGTGGATGGGTGAGGGCGGCTGTGGGTGGGAGAGTGTAAAAGCAGTGCTTCATGCAAGGAACACAGGGAATACCAGGGGGCAGGGGGTGACTGGGAGAACTGTGTTGGAGGGACTGGAAATGTGAGTCCTGACAGGTGGGTTTTGAGGGTTTCCTTTCTGTTTTTTTTTCTTCCCCCTTTTCAATTTTTGTTTATTGTTCCTGTGCAAGTTTTAGTAGGATTATGTTTAATACCTAAAAATGGGTCAGAGTGCTCCTAAACTCTTAAGTAGCCTTTTGCTCTCAAAACTTGTGTGGAAATTACTTTAGAAACTAATCTCTAATTAGCTGATCTGCCAATGTGCTCGAGCTTCTACCAAATATGTGGCCTAAGAGACAGTACCCTCCTTGTGCTCCATGAGTCAACCTTAGACAGTGTGGGGTTTTTTTTCAACTTTAAAAATAATGTTTATTTTGCTTTTCTTTTTCTTTTTAATAACTCTAAACATTTGGCAACTTTAGACAAACTTTGATGCTGTTACTAAGAAAAGTGGTTACACGTTGTGTACTTTGGTATTTCTAAACTGAGACTGGCCTACTTTCTAGAAAAAGTCCTTTAGGCAAAATAATTATTGCAGCACAAGTGTAAACAGCACATTTATCCCTAGAGAAATCAAGACATGTTCTTCCAACTCCAAGCTGGTGATGGTCCTGAGGGTGCCAGAGTGAAGGTGTGCCATTTTTATGTATGCAAACCATGGAAGGGACAGAATTGGGTCACCAGTCCGGGTCTCTGTGGTTTAGTGCAGCCTTGTGAATTTGGCAGCCTGAGCAATGGAAATTAAACTTGTAATTTCTTTTTTTTTTTTTTTTTTTTTTTTCCCCCCTCACGTCACTGTCCATTTTTACTCTTTATCAGTAGGGTTGTATCAAAATGGTAATGTTTCATCCTGCTGGTATCTGGGAGTTGGATTTGAAATAATGATAGGAATAGGGGTAAAAGTTACTTGTTTAATTGTGGTTTGCTGTTCTGCCTTGTGAGACTAAAAGCTGTGAATTGACACTTCAGGAGACAGGTATCACTTTTAAATCCGTTCATGTTTTACAAGGAAATTATACCTGAAACCAAAATGGTGAAAGTTTTAGTTAGGAAAAGTGTTTAATGACTTCACCTGTATTGCTGACAGAGAGTAAGTAAAAATCTTAGCAGCGGCAGAAACTAAATTTGAAAGAATGTTTATAGTAAAGAAAGTTTGGTTCAGTTCATGTGCTTTTACCTTCACTGACACCAGTGAGAGTTATTGCTTGTGTCTGTCCAGGGGTGCAGCTTGGAGAAGAGAATGGATTTCTTGTAGAAATGGCCAGGTTTTTTTCAGCATAGCAATTGTGTTGCTTTCAGTGTCCATTGAGATTTCATCATGATCTTGCTTTGTTTCAGGACACTAGCAGGAGATATGAAAATAAAGCTGGAAGTTTCATTACTGGAATAGATGTAACATCCAAGGTAATTTTTGTGCCATCGTTCTTCAACATATTCAAATTATTGCTACTGGAAAGGAGAAACCATTTCATTTATTTCTTCCCCAACATGCACAGAAGCTGGGCCTCATGTTCAGATAGCTGACATTTTTCAACAACTAGGAAATTCTTTTGTTGGTTGTGGCCTGCATGAGGACCTGACATCTCTTGTAAACTGTGAGAATTGGTGTTTTTAACTTAGAAAAAATTGTGTTTCAAAGCCTGAAAATGTTTCTATTGAGATTGCCTTGGTGCCATTCAATAATGTAACACAAAGCCCTTTGAGACAAGTCAGCTGTTGGTTTTCCTCTTAGATGAGTGACAGAAGGAAGAACAAGTGCTTGGCAGGAAAATCTAGTTTCATTGCCTTGTGTCTTTCAAGGGTATCTTCTTGTTTAATTATTTAAGAGGTAGTGTGAAGAATGTGAACAGCTGTTGCATTGAAATAACTTAAAGTTACATGATTTTGTGGAACTTAATCCTACAGTTCATCTCCGTACATTTAATACCCAATTGGCTGTTGTTTCATATTGTACAATTGACCACTATATCTAGCATTTGGTAGTGGAGAAAAAGCATTTAGTCATATACTTTATAGGACTGATACAACTTTCCATATGCTAACAAATATGAATCCCCACCACAACAGCGTGTTGACAAATGACATGAGTTTCTATTTTGCATTACTGGAGCTCAGAAGATTGTGCTTATCAAAGAGTAAAAAAGGATTCCAGATGAAGGCTGAAAATCAGCTTTTTGGCTTCAATGTCTAGCTTGTGTGCATTGTAATTCAGCAAAGAATTTAAAGATCCCCTAGTCAGGGAAAAGAGGTTTTTGTTATGTTCTTTAATGATGTAACTGAAAAACTGTAAGAAATGTGGTCAAAGATGCTTTGGCAATCTTTAAAAAACGGTAAAAAGACCATGTTTATTTGAATATCATTGACGGCAGTTTTTACTTAATCACAGTTTGTGTTCCAAATTTAACTTTGGTTAGTTAGGTCCAAAAATCTATAATGCTTCCTAGTAAATTCTGTAGAATAAGGAGTTTCTCAGTCAGTTTCAAAAATTACCCAAGATCCACAAAAGCTGTTGCTCATGAGCTACTTAAAAGCAGCTTGAATTGCCAGTCTAAATAAGATCTCTCTAGTCAGCACTCCAGCTAGTATTGTTAAATACATGCTCAGAGAGAGGCAAGTTTCCATTTTTGTATGTATTTAAAAAACGGATAGGGAATAATATCTGTAATCTTAAAAGACAGCTTTTCAATGTGGTAGAAATGCTTGTTTTAAGAGAGTTTTTTTTGAGCACAGTCTCTGTGTGTTTGTTGGGAAGGAAAAAATAATGTTACTGTTCCATTGTGGAGTCTGAACATTGTCCAAGATACCTTTTTTTTCATACATCTTATTTCCCGTTATGTCGCTGGAGTCATATTAAAACTGTTATTGTGGCACAGAAATGTTTTAGTAAATGGTTTCTACGCTCTGAAACTTACAGGTCTCTTCAGAATTAATAGAATTATTAATATATATTGTTGCTGTCTGATGGATTTGATTTTAAATACCTGGTCCTTTGGTGGAACTTGCTGGGAATGCTGCTGTGATTCCTGTTTTGACTGCATTGTTTGGCATTTCGCAGGAAGCAATTGAGAAAAAGGAACAAAGAGCAAAACGCTTTCATTTTCGAGCTGAAGTGAATCTTGCCCAAAGGAATGTGGCACTGGATCGGGACATGATGAAGAAAGGTATGAGTTTATCCAAGGGACAAGAGGAAAAGATCCCTTTGTTTACTTCCTCATAGTTCCTTTACTTGATTTATCCTATAATTTTTCCTGCATCCCCAGAGGTTTTCCCAGTTCACTGCCAAAAGAAATCATTTTGGGTTATTTTTTTCACATTTTGTTTTAAAGTCATTACTTTTTAAACTACGTGACAGTTATTTCACTCCTTGTTTTACCAACCCCAGAAAGAACACATTTTTTTCTGTACCTTTTTTACCGTTTGGCAACGGTGCCTAGTGCTACATGTCCGAGATTCATCTTCTGATCAGTGGTGCTTTAAGAATCTATAAATTCTTTGAAAAGACTTTGGTCACTGTTTGTGTGAGAGGAGGACTCTGTGTCCTGTGCACAGTGAGATCAGATTCTGTGCTGTACACACAGCGAAGCTGCACTGATTGTACATGTAGATGGCAAGCTGGGCTTGTTGGAATATCAGCTGGGAGAAGTGTGCATGACAGATTGGCGCTTTTGGCATTCAGTTAGTTCTCCAGGCTATTTTTTTGTCCAACTGGCAGCTTGGACCCACTAAGCCCGTGGCCTGTAACAGCTCTCCATCAGATATGGAAGTGCTTTGTACACATGCCCGGATCACAGGCCTCATTAGTATTCTGGCTCTTCGGTCCTTAATGGTAGTATTCTGGCAACATTAAAAAAATGTATGTTATTAAGGCAGTTTGTATGAGGTACTTACATTTCCCAATGTTTGTAGCGTTACCTCTTTTTAATTCTCAATTTATGAAAGTTTTGCATTGTGGAATAATAATTCAAGTTACGGTGTTTTAGAATGGTGTGCATCCTACTTTGCTTTAATTAGCTTTGCTTTATAAACCCATGTATTAGTAATATAAAAGCTTGCTCTATAGAAGTGAGTACCAGTTTTGTATCTCTTCCTCTTCATAGCAATTCCTAAAGTGAGACTGGACACAATTTACATTTGTGGGGTGGATGAGATGAGTACACAGGACATCTTTGCCTATTTCAAAGAGTATCCTCCTGCTCACATCGAGTGGTTAGATGATACATCATGTAAGTAAATGGAGTCTTTTATCTGTTATTCTTACTCTTTTTTTTTAAATATCGGTTATAGCTGTACTTCAGATGTCTTAGTGGCTTTCAAAGTCACTGATCTTTGTCTGTCTCCATTTCCCTGTCATTAACCTTAGTCAAAAGAGATTTAGAAGAAAAGAGTTAATAGCAGGGGGTGAAAATCAAACCCACTATCCAGTTGACTATTGATTATTGGAAAGGGATAGTGTAGAATAACTTGCAGGTCTCTTAAGTGGGGAAAAAAAGAAGTGTAGAATTTTGTGGTGCTTACATCTTGATATAAATGGTATACCCTCTTGTGAGCATCACAAAATATGACATTCTGGGAGAAGGTTATGGAGCTGTGTGCAGTTAGGCAGGTTGGTAGGGTGTTGTGCTGCGAAGGAGCAGACTTGCTGCCATATTTGTTTAGTGCATTCTCAAGGAGAAATTAGTGGGTGGGAGAAGGTAACAGTTGAATGTGATTTACATAGATTGGAAAAGGAATGTAAATTCACACTGCAAGGGGCGTTTCAGGGCGTAAGTGTGCAGTGTGATTGCCAGGAAGATACAAGGTTGTTGACAGTCATGCTTTCTTCAGTGATAATAATGAGTGTACAAGAGCTGTTTGCTACAGTTTGGCGCTGGATCATGGAATGGGAAGGCTCTGAGATTGTCATGTGGCTGGAAATCCTGTGAATGAAATCACAGAAAAAGAAATAGGAGCCAGTGCAGGTTTTCCAATTCAATTGGAATTGCTGGAAACTGATTTTCTGACAAGCATGGTTGAGACCTGAGAATTAGTAGCGTGGTTCCCCGGAATGACCCTGAAGGAATTATGTTTAAGTGCCAGACAAAATACATGTTATACTGCAAAATACTGGTAACCTTGAAGTCAGTGTGTGTGATGGCTTGACATGCTGTCGCAGGGTGACAGTGAATTTGAAGTGCAGTGAGCCCTGGGTGAATAACTGCAGTAAAGAGCTGGTAGAGGAACCTGTGGCAACACGTAAGACAGCAAATGCAGAGCTTAACTCTCTGAGACTAAATTTTTAAGATTGTCTGATTATCCTTTTTCTTAAATGTTACATGTGTCCATTTAGTGTGGAACCAGAGGGAACTTGCAGTGCAAAAATGCAGGCTTCAGAGTCGTAAAGTACTTTACCCAATTAGGGTTAAAACCCATCTTTTTTAGTGATTATTTTTCATGCTCTGAGTTAGCACTGAGTTTCATGGTTGGTGAAAATTCCAGGAAAAAGCATTGTCTTTTCAGCATAAATTTGCATCACAGCATGGTAAAAAATTTTAAGATTCCCAACTGAATTACATCTCAAGGTGTGTTGGGACAAAGGTGAATTTAGACAGTGTTCTGTGTTTCAAACTGATGAACATAAAACGATAAAGATTTTGAAAATTTGGAGATGTGAAGGAGGCATACATAAATGAAAATTTATTAGCTAATTATATCTGGGTATTCTTCACCATGTAAATCTTGTCAGTTTAAGTAATTTAAGTCAGAATCTTTTATTTTGGGATACTGTATAGTTTTCTTCATAGCTGAATACACTCTGCTTAACAGCAGAGCAGTAAATTACATTTGTTGCTGTATTTGCACTGAATGCATCCACGCAGAAAGCTTTTGTTCAAAATCTGTTTCTAAGCAATTTTAGCTCTTTCAATTTTGGCATCTGTAACATGCTTTTAATTGGCCTAATAAGTTATATTTTGGTACCATCTGCTGATACTTAAGGCATGTATGAGGCATCTACTGAATTACATTGCTAACCTGTGTACATTGTCATCTGTGTTTGAGCAGTCTCTCCTACTTTCCCGCCTTTTGGAAAAGATAACAGAGTTCTGCAGTGAGGTTCAAGGTTCTGTTAAATTGCCAAAGAGAAAGAAGTCAAGGCATCAAGGCTTCTTTCTTCTTTTTTTTTTCTTTTCTTTTTTTTCCCCTTTAATCACATTTGTGTGCTAACACATTCATGAAATACTCTGAGCTTGACTCAATCTCCTGATTTGCTGCGCTCAGAAAGCAGTCTCTAATATATATACTTGTGCATTTCAGTGATTTTGGTTTTAATGAGTTGTTGTATGTGTTTGCTGTCATGTGATGAAAGCTGTGTGATGTCCTGTTTATCAAGTGTGTTAAAGAGCATGACTTCCTCTCCATAAGGTGTATCTGATTACTACTTTGTCACTATATAAGAGCATTTCTGAGCTTTTGTTAGTAATTTCTCTCCAGTAAGGCAGTGTATGTGACTGATGATAAAAAACTGCATTTTGTTTTTGTGTGTATATATATATGTCATAGGTAACGTGGTCTGGCTTGATGAAGTAACAGCAACACGGGCTCTAATAAATATGAGTTCCTTGCCTGATCAGGAGAAAACAAAAAGCAGAGAAAACAACGAAGAGAAGACAGCTGAAAAACCCAAGAAAGGTAGATTGAGATACGCATATCTACACATCATCTAGTCAAATCAATGAAACTTGAAACTTGTGCTTGGGTACTGCATAATCTAAATTACTGAAGGAGCTTCTGTCGTACAGTTTCAGGTAAATGTATTCTGCCACTTTAAAAAAGGCTTTCATCTTGGAAACCTTTTGAAGAAGCTGCTTCTTAAAAGGTGGGTTGGAGCTAGACCAAAAGCAGTAATTCAGTCGATACCGAACATGTTAGATGCAGGGTCATATTCAGATACGATATTTATAGTGGTGCAGGTTGCACAGAAAGAAATCTGTGTGAGGTGGGTGCAAAGGCAGTAAAAGGATGGATTCTAAGTGTGGCAAAAGCTGGTGTAAGAAAATGTCCTGTTTTTGAAATACCAGGGTTAATTCCTTTCTTGATACACCACCATCCTTTAAGTTCACACTGATGTGACTGTAGCACTTCACCACTGTATATATCATCTCTAAATTTGGCCGTCACACTTTCAAGAAAGAAGCACACTGAAAGGTCAGTTATAAAAGAGCAAAGCAGCAAAACTACATCTTAATGTTGTGATAAATCTGGTACCTGAATTGTAAATTTATTTTACTTTTACAGATATAAGTTAAAAATCAGGCTTTTGCTACCTTAGGAGTGTTTTGCTGTTAGGCTGGTGTGATAAATTGCTGTGGTTCAAAGTACTGTACCACACAGTACAAAGCAAATAGAGATGTTGTATTTATTAATTCTTCCATGATTTTTCTTAAACATGCTCTATGAACAGACCACAAGTAGCCAATCTCTCTAGTAGATATTTGCAGCGCTACCAAAAGCCTTTCTAAAAAGTTTGGGGTGTAGGGCTTTGTTGTGCCTCCTAACTCATCGCCTTTTCTTTTTGTTGCTTTTCTCCACAACGCAGTGGCTCCTCAGGCATCCATGTGAATTTAATTTTTGGGCAAATGTTGATAATGCTTCAAGTAAGACTTGTTACGAAATTTTTGGAGATTAATGACTGTGTTGTTTAATTGAAGCATAAATATATGTATTTAATCTTGTTGGCTATAAATTGCTTATTACATCATCTTTACACCACATCTCAAAATAAAAACTGTCATGTAAATTCCTCCTACATAAACTTATTCACCTGTTTATCTGGAAAAGTGGGATATTAGATAAAGTACAGACTGTTCAATTACATCTCAAGGTGTGAGATGCTACAGATAGACTGGAATAATCCGGTTTAGTTGCATTCCTTCTTTAGACAGGAACTTGAGGGCTTTTTAGACATTTAGGGAAGCAAGAGGCTAGTCTTTACTGTGAGAAGCTTATCACTTGGGGGGGGGGAAGAAGTGCTTGTACACTGTCTCTGCTGGAAATAAATTATTATTTGGGCTTGAATTTGGCTAATTTGTATCCCTAAATTCTCTCTTTAGTTTCAGTTTGGTTAATTGCGCTTTACTCTTTTCTTTGAATTTGGGTATATTTTCAGAATCTTTTGAACATCTGCTGCTCTCTAGTATGAGTTTTCAAGTCTGTTGTTGGATGAGATTAAGATAAGGAACTATGAAATAGAAAAGATTTTTTTTTTTTAAGTCTTGTGAAGTACTTTGAGATCTTTGCAAATGATACTAGTATATCTTGATAGTTGTCCATATTCACTACTTTTTTTTTTTTCCCCTTGAGGACTGAAAAAAGATATTCCAATATAAATTTTCTGCATTGAGCTAAAAAGAACCCTGAGAAATCTATGTAAACATCTCACAGTTTTATTAGTTCTAGAAACACGCACTCTTCTTTTAGTTAGTTCACTTTGAAAATAAGTCACCAAAGTTGTTTTTTTTTTCCTTCTGCTCTCTCAGAAACTGCTAAGCTTTTGAATAGTGACTGTTTTACATTGTTAGTATTGGATACTTGTAGGTACTTGCAGCATTTTAAAGGGAGGCTGAAGTAAGTAAGCTTTTAAATGCCTTTTACAGTCTTGGCCTTCTTGATCTCTGCCATACCCTGAAATGCAGTGCAATTTCATTTGCTTTCAAAGAATCAAATTAACAATCCCTGTGTGGTGCTGCAGGCAGTTATCTGCACAGGGGCTGTCTTGTTAATGTTATTCTGTGCTCATGCCTGCTTCAAATTTCTGTGGACATTTACTGTTTTAATTATTCTCTAGGCTGCACAGAAGAAAGGATAAAACCTTCAGTTTTATTTCAGAGAATATAAGTAATAATAATGAAATGTGACCAACGCACTAAAATGGAGGTTATTTTTTTTCCCCAATTATTTTTCTTCTTAGAAAAACAGGACGAAAGTTCTGATGATGAGACTGAAGAAGGCGAGGTTGAGGATGACAATCAAAGTGATGTTGAGGTGAGTACAGAAGGAAAGTGAAAACACTATTATGAAAGTTTTGCTCTGACTGGTGTAAAGTTTTTATAAAGACATAGTTTTAGCCATATATATCTGCAATTAACAATTTAATTATCAAAGTAAATGAGGGGGGGGAATGACGGGAAGAGCAGGTATGCTGCTGGTGAGAATAGCAATGTAAGAGTGTTTTGTGAAAGGGGGTTTTGAAGAGAGCAGTAGGGCATCCAGTGTGTAAGAGCTGGGCTGGCTGCTCTGTTCTGCTGAGAGGGGGCAAAAAAAGAACAATAATGGATGGCAGCAGCCTTTCAGCAGTGGAGGCAGTGCTTAAAGAGAAAAACAGGATTTAGAGTGTCTGTAGATACATGTGGGAATCAGCATACACATTGATGTTTTCTAAGTAATTTAATCTTCACTGGCTGAATACATAATTGGTGTGATTAGTATTTTCTTTAGCAATGGCTCAGTGAACACTCCATACATTGTGAAAGTCTGAATTTTAGTTTCTATAAAGCAGATATAAATGGAAAAGAAAGCCTTTTAGTCAACGTGCGAGGGCATGAGAACCTGTTAGTAAAACCATTTGGATAGGAAACAGGCAAAAAAACCCAAATAGTTGTTTTTCAGTGTCCAAGTTGTACTATTTATTTTCTGCATTTCAGTCAGTACTACAGTGAAAATTATTGGATTTAATAATCTGAGATAATGTTACAAAGCAAGGGAAGGAAATATTTTAAATCTTGAGGTCAAATTACTTTAAAAATTGACATTACTTTGTCAAGAAAAAAAAGCAGAGTTCTTTTGAAAAGTGACTTTCTTAGTAATCAGTTGATTGCTTCTCTGCAAGGAATCCATTTTTGTTCAACAGTAATTTTATTTTTGAGTCCAAAATACCTTTTTTGCCCCCCAAAGTTGGATGCCCTCTCCCAGGTAGAAGAGGATTCTCTCCTGCGTAATGATCTTCGCCCTGCCAATAAACTGGCTAAAGGAAACAAGCTATTCATGAGATTTGCTACTAAAGGTAAATGAACAGCTTAACAAGCATAATGAATTAATTGCTTGTTGTAGTTTTTATTTGTTGACTAATGAATGACTCAAAGTACCTAATTTTTATTTGCAAAATTCTTGGGGTTTTGCTGATCATGAGATATTAAGATTTTGCAATAAATCCACATTTAATGTGTGAATTAAATCCAGTTCAAGTTGTATGAAAATTATTGTACATAAAAATTTTATCTTGGGCTCAGGACATTCTTCCCAATACTATAGAATAGGTTTTATGTTGCCCTTCTCCACAGAGGTAAATCTCCCATTTTATAAATATGAAAATCATTTGAGATGTTGATGAGGTATGAGTGGAAATTGCTCCTAAATACAGTTGAGATATTAAGTGGTATTTATGATAAAAATGAAAATCCATATAATTTCTGGGCCATGTGGGAAGCAACACATCCATAAAGAAAAGAAAGGTCATGACTAAGGTAAGTGTAGCCTCCAGCAGTTACAGTGAGATGTAACGCTCTGTTAAGCTGATCTGTAGAAACTCAGTCTCCCTAGAATTAAGTTTCTAGACACAAATAAAACTGTGGTGGTAGGAGAAATTTCAGAGGTGTCAGCAGAATCGTATCCTTCGTGAAGGAGATTGAGGTAAAGCTGACCTGTAAGACATCCTCAGTCTTACTTTCACTCTCTGTGAGTTTGACTGGCTGGTTATTTATTTTTATGCTAGTGTTGTGAGATATTTTCTAAGAGGGAAATAATGCTTTTGTGTTTTTTCAGATGACAAAAAAGAGCTGGGGGCTGCAAGGCGAAGCCAGTATTACATGAAATACGGCAATCCGAATTACGGAGGCATGAAGGGGATTCTTAGCAATTCTTGGTGAGTATTGGGTAGAGGAATTGGAAGGTTGCAGGTAATTGGACAAGATGGTCTAAAACTGTTTTAATTTGTGGATTTTCTTTCTCTTCAGTTTAAGCAGATGCTTCTTATGTGTAAATAACGGTTTTGCCATGTGACTATGAATTTGCAAGGGGAGTATTTTAAAGAATGTTTATATTCAAAACATTCAAACAGATCTCTGACATAAATGCACGTCTGCTATTAAAGCGAGTGATAATTGCATATGCTTAATCCAGGACTGAATATGGCTCATTCATTATGCCCTTTCTGTGACAGCAGTGTAATTCTTTTCATGTTTTTTAAGGAAACGAAGATACCATTCACGTAGAATCCACCGGGATGTGATAAAGAAAAGGACACTTATTGGGGATGACGTTGGCTTGACAGCTCCTTATAAACATCGTCATTCAGGTAATTGATGCCAATGTCCACTCTGGAAGAGCAAAATTTGGGAATGAGGGGCTGGAAAGGACGTCAAACAATGCCTCGTGTAATCCCCCGTGGTGCATGAAAGTGAAGCGTACTGCAAAAAAATATATCTAACTGAATCACATTTTAAGACTTTGCAGGGAATAACTGAGGCAGAAGCTTCACGCCGCTCATTGGCTTACCAAAAGAGCTGCTACTTTTTATGCAATATATTTCTTTTACAAATTTAGGCCATGGGGGCCATGGCATCAAGGGCATAAAGAAGGCATAGCTGCTTTAAACTTCTTGGCAATCTGTCCTAATTGCTGTGTCAATTCTTCTGTTCTATGAAAAAGCAAGGTCTAGATGTAGAACAGTAAAGATTAGAAAATTCTACTAATTAGGCTTGAATATCTTCATTGACTCCCTAAGGTGGGGCGTGTGCATGAGAAAAATAATTGGTGTGAAAATCTTTGACGCGAGACATACAGAGTGTTAAAGTTTCAGTTGAGTGGACTGTTAAAAACACAGCTACGGATGTAGCAAATCTCACGCAAGATTTTACATTTTGATTACCTCCTGCTCTCTGAAAAGGTGCTTGCACACTGCTGAGGACTGAACTTAAGTTGCTGATTTATATTTAAATCAGTAGATGTGATAAATTCATACGAATGACACTTCCTTTTTTGGCATTGGTGCTTAGAGGACTTGAAAAGATTATCGTGGAGCCAGCAGCTGTCACATTAAGCCCTGCAAGATCATAGGAATTGTTGTGCTTAGTTCAGGAAGAATGACCTGCACATATTTCACTGAATTTCACTGAATTTTTTAGAGTTGGAAGGGACCATAGAGATCATCTAGTCCAACTCCCCTGCTAAAGCAGGACCACCCAGAGCTTGTCAGAGCATGTTACTCAGGAGCATCCAGGCGGGTCTTGAAAATCTCCAAAGAAGGGGACTCCACACCCTCCCTGGGCAGCCTGTTCCAGGGCTCCGTCACCCTCACCGTGAAAAAGTTCTTCCTCATATTCAAGTGGAACCCTTTATGTTCCAACTTGTGCCCATTGCCCCTTGTCCTCTCTCTGGCAACTACTGAAAAGAGTCTGGTTCCCTCCTCCCTCAGCCCGCCCTTGAGATACTTGTCAGCATTAATAAGGTCTCCCCTCAGCCTTCTCTTCTCCAGACTAAAGAGTCCCAGCTCTCTCAGCCTCTCCTCATAAGGGAGATGCTCCAGTCCTTGAATCATCTTTGTTGCCCCAGGCTGGACTCTTTCCAGTAGTTCCCTGTCCCTCTTGAACTGGGGAGCCCAGAACTGGATGCAGATTTCCAGTTGTGGCCTCACCAGTGCAGAGTAGAGGGGCAGTGACCTCCCTTGACCTGCTGGCCACACTCTTCCCTACATACTACGTATTGAGTCCAGCTTTATGCTTGAGCAGGTTTCTGAGATAGTGAACATCGTGGACTTGTATTGTCTCATGCTGATTTTCTTCCACTTAGGCTATTCTGTAACTTTTTCGCTACAGGCTTAATAAATGTTCCTGAAGAGCCTATTGAGGAGGAGGAAGAGGAGGAGGAAGATCAGGATATGGATGAAGATGACAGAGTTGTGGTAGAGTACCGTGATGAACTGCAGGCTTTCAAACAGGCCCGAGACCGCAGTGCAGCAAGACGATCGAGCGCCAGTGCGTCTGATTCCGATGAAATGGACTATGATCTTGAACTGAAAATGATATCAACGCCCTCTCCCAAAAAGAGCATGAAAATGACAATGTATGCAGATGAGGTGGAATCACAACTGAAAAATATTAGGTAAAAGTTTCTTATTCCTTAAAAGTATTGGTGAATAGTAACAGAGCTGTCAAAGCTTGAAGACAAACTGTTGAAGCTGCTTTTTCAATTCTTAGCACAATTTTGTAGTAGATATTTTTAAAAAGAAATACAAAATGCAGAAAACCCTGATACAGGCTTTTAATTACAATTAACATTTGTAAAATATAGCTTCCTTTGCGGATTTCTGTAACCCTGCTTATTGATAATAGTGAAGCTCGAAGTGGAATCAATAGAAATATATGCAAGCAAGCACAATTAACTTCTTGCACTTCATAGCTAGGTCAGGGAGAAATAACCCCTCTTTCTTTTTTCCCTTCACCCCTTCCCTTTTTTCTCAGAAGAATAATGCTTAGATATTGATAACAAAAGGGAATTCATGTTCGTTATGGGCATATTAACCAAAATTCCATATATTGTGGATTATTAAAATAACTTTAGCATGTGCTCCTTCAGTAGTATGTTTACATTACATTATAATGTCAAGTCTTTCAACAATATTGAGGTTGCTTATCTGCTCTGAATTTTGACTCGGAGAGACAACCTTAAGGAGACAAACTCATACCTGCCTTGAAATGGGTATGGAGGTGCTCGTGTGGTTACTGCTAAGCTTGGGATTCTGACTGCAACACAGGCTCTTCTAAGTAATGTTTTTACCTCTGTTTCTCAGTAAAGAAACCCTGATATTACTGTTTTCTATGATGTAACTTTATATATAAGAAGAGTTAAGTCCTACAGTAGATTCATTTCATTTAAGGGACATTAAATCTATTGTTTATATTTTTAGGAATTCCATGCGAGCAGACAGCATAGCAACCAGTAACATCAAAAATCGGATCGGCAGCAAAGGGTCATCAGAGAAAGTTGCAGATGTGAGACTACTGTTAGAAGAAAAACGTCAGAATAATACTGGGCCGCGCCAGCCAAACAGCACTGTAAAATCAGGTAATTTTAAACTCTTATATTGTGCAGAATTGCAGCTGGCTCATTAAAATGGATATATTCACTTCACAAATGTGCTTTGCTGCAGCTAACAAACCTGGGGGAATTCTGTTCAGCAGCAGTTTCTGCATCCATACAGTTAATTTTTCCTCACTAAGAGACCGAGTTGGGGATCGCTTTGGGGAAAAATGAAGAACATTGGAGTGAAAGAGTGACGTTTATTTTTATCCAATTTACTTGCCCGTTTTTATTTCCCCCCCACTTTGTCTTTTTGGATTTCCTCAATCCTTGAGGCAGAGATCCTGTACAACTCTGAGGAACACAGCATGTCGGGGAGCTTCTGTACAAAATGAAACATGAAACACTAGCAACTTACATGAAAGAACATGTATTATATGAATATGGATGTATTTTTCAATTGGCAGGGTTTATTTCTGGGCTTAATTGATTTACTCAGGTATGTGTAATTTCAGCTACTTTTGACATTACATAGGATTATGGAATACATAAGATACAGATATCTGACCGATAAGTGAAAAATACTCTCTTTTATTAAAGTAACGTGGAAGTTAATGTATTTTACCCCTTCTGCACATTTTGGGGCTCTCACAAGTTGGCATGCAAATCCTTTGCCTTTATGTTTTTGTTTGAAACCTCTTCAAGACTGGGAATATTTAACTAAATCAGACAATACTTCCAAATGTAAGACTCACATCATGGGTTAAGTATCAATATATTTAGGATTCTTATATTCTGTATTTGATATTTTGCAAAATGAAATGAATCAGTATTAGAATTCTGAAGCAGGGTATCCTATCTGAAAAGAATCGTTGAAGGGATATAAATTTTTGTATAATTGTACCTCATGCTGGATACATACACACTGTGCTGCTAGAGCAGAAATGCAGCGAGCCATGTATAACTTCACTTTTTCAATCTTCTGGACAGTGCACAACCTGAAAACATTAAATGTTAAATTTATTACCAAAAAGAAAAAAGAAATCTGGTTAAGTTTTATTGCAGACATTATCAGGACTGCAATCATGAGTACAAAAGACTTAATGAAAAGATTCCAGAAAAGATAAAAACAGAATCTGTCTAGTTTCATGTTCTTCAGATTGTGCAATGAGGATAAAATTAGCAGGCAGAGTTAAAGTAAATGCATCATGATTTTTGTAAGTTTAATCACTGGAAATGTCCCTAGATGTGCGGCAAAGACTGGGAAAAAGACCACATTCTCCAGAAGTTAAACCTCCGAGTAGTACCTCTGCTCCTCGTCGAGAACCGATATCAGACGTACACAGCCGGTTAGGGATCCCCAAACAAGATGTAAAAGGCCTCTACTCTGACACCAGAGAGAAGAAATCAGGTTAGTTTTATGGAGAAAATGTAATGCTGCAGTGCCTCTGACTTTTGAGCATAAGAGAAATTTCAGCTGAAAATCATAAAGTTGAGTGAAATTAAAGATGAATTTGCAAATGTTTGTTCAGAGCTTTGAAACCTGAATACACGTGGGTAGGTTGAGCTGAGTATAAGCAGTATTTTTATATAGCTATGCTTAAAAATAGGGGACTGCTTTAAAACTGTGGTCAAAACAGGGCCCTAAAACAAATGTGAAAGATGCAATGGCACTTGGGACCTGTGTGTAACGTTCTTTGCAAGGGGGAAACTGAACGGGACTGCACTGAGCCTCCCATATTTTAATTTCAGCTACTGCTTCAAAGCACAGTAAGTTCTGTGCCAAACATTACAGTGGGAGGAGTACGAGGAGCTTAAAGAGATGCAGTGAATTTTAGATTGAGTTGCTTACATTTCCTCCACTATACTTCTTAGTCTTGTCTGTTTTTTAAAAAAAATGTTTGTTTTTCATCTGATCAGGTAATTTATGGACCCGATTAGGGTCTGCCCCGAAGACACAAGAAAAGACTTCAGATAAACCTGAAAACTCTGTGGCTTCTCCAGAGGAAGAGGATTCAGAGCTCCAGCGGGTTTGGGGTGCTCTCATTAAGGAAAAAGAACAGTCTCGGCAAAAAAAGAGCCGATTGGATAATTTACCATCTCTACAGATTGAAATCAGTCGAGAAAGCAGTTCTGGGTCAGACACTGAATCCTGATTATTTTTATGTTCTCATCTTCAAGATTATGACTCTGCAGTGTGGCAAGATTTCCTTTGCCCAAAAGCTGGACACTGGCAAAGACTCTGCAGTGAAGGTTCCAGAAGTGTCTCTGTTCCTTTTATACAAAAATAGAGATGCATTTACCACTTGAAACCTAAAGCAGTCGCGTTTGTCCGGAGTCTGTGGTTGGCCCTGTGTTACGTAGGGCATTGTCATATATGTTTATTATGGCAAACCTGTAGTTAATTCTAGCAAAACACTTTTCCCCAAGCTTGGAACTTAAGAGGCAGAAATGCTCTGTATTTTTAAGACGACCTTTTTTGTTCTTAATATTTTTAACATGGAGCCTTTTAACAAAATATTTCACACAGTTCATCCAAAGAACAGGGCATTTCATAATCAACATCATTGCCTTGCCCTTCTGGCTCTTACCAGCACCTTTCCTTTCCTCTTGAAGTAATAACAGTAATGCTTCCTGGGTAGGCAGCCGGCAAGGATAAAGCATGAAGGGACTGTGACCTTCCCTTCCTCCAAAATACTGAATGTAAATCTAAGTTGAACGTTTTAGTACAGTGAAATTTCACGTAGTATCCATTACTTCTGTCCAGGAATTCAGCTCATTTTCTTTTGGTGATGCTCTGTTCTGCTGTAGTAGGGATTGAGATGTTCAAGACTGCAAAGTTGGATGGTTGAGAACTGTATAAATTCCCAAAGGGTTTGTGGTTTTTTGGTTGGTTTTTTTTTTTTTTGTTACATGATGAGAAATTATATTTCTTTTGTTTTATCTGTATTATGTTTTGAAGAAATCTAACAATTTAAAAACACACACTTTTATATTTGTGAGAATTTTCCTGTTGGCCACGGTGAAAGCTATAGTGGTGTTTTCCAATGTGCTGTTTAACTATATATATATATAACTAAAAGAGAAAAGGAAAACTATAGGATCACTGTCTCTTGTCAATATTTTTGAATGTTCTTACTGTGTAGTATGTGTGGATGTGCACATGGTTGACGTGTTACACTCGGCTTTTTTGACCTGTGTATCCTCTCTAGGTAGGAAAAAGGTTTGATGGGTGTACACCTGCCATTTCTTCCTGTTGCCTGTGGCATTTATTTCAATTACCAAGAATTAAATACGGAATAATGCTACCACATCACATTCTGGCAAAACAGAATAAGTAGCAAAACCATCGTCTGCTATGTTTTGATAGTCTGAAAATTTGTTTTCCTAGGTTCTGTCAGTCCAAAATGTCTATGAAAATCTCTTCCCCTTTCTGCTCTTTAACAAAAAATGCTTTATCGTTTTTTTTCCCCCATTTTTGTACTAAGTTGAAGTAGGTTTGAGGCTTCACAAAAGCAAGGAATCTGCAGTTAACTTTTCTTACTGCTTTATTATGTGTAAGAACAGCAGCATGTAAAATTAAAGGTAAAATGAAAGGTACAGTGAGTGGAAGGGTAATCTGGGGATTGACTGGGCTTCAAGCCTTATTTCCTTGTTTTGTGACCCTCATCCTTGATTTTATATTTAATTATTGAATATATAAATATGTCTCATAAAAGTACTGTTGAGACTAAAGGACTGCAATGTCTCATCACTGTAATAATTCATTTTAACATGTGTTTTCATTAATATAACCCTTCCAAACACTTTCAAATAGAACCGTACCCATTTCTCAACATCCTGATAAGATTTATTTAACCGGTGTCTTTTTGCCAGTAAACCTTTGTGCTGTACCACTGCTTCAGATCCGTTATGACCTTTCTTTTTCCTGAAAGGAGATGGTAGATACGACCCGTCCACTCGCTCTATGAGGACGGGCTTCTGCACGGTCATGAACCCTGGTGTGTTTTTAAGCTCCACAGCTAGATGTGCTCTGCTCTTAATGTTGCTGAAAACCACCCTGTTTCCATGTAAATCCTCATCACTTGAGCCTGGTGAAGGACAGACCAACTGGTTTGAAGGGCAGAAGGGGAACAGAGAATCTCTTCAGCTGATACAAAAGATCTGAACTGATGGGGGTGTGAAATCAAGAAAAGCGACGTTGGCAAAGGCTTGTGTTGGAGGAAGAGGAGCCATTAACACGGGTTCTGTCTTCCAGGTAGTCGTAATTACACCTTGCAAATGCCTCCGTGTCACTCGGGTCTGTCGTGTTTATGGTTTGAAGGGAGGGTTATGTGTGTTCATGAGACCAGGGCAGCTTAGCTGCAAGAAAAATAGAGGTTTACTCTTGAAGAGCCCCATAGAGAGGTTGGGTTTTGTGTTTATAATTGAGTGTTTGCCTGGTTTTGCGTTTCGATGATGTATGGAGAAGCCTTGAGAAGGGTTTGCTGGAATTCTAGCTTTGGTCTTCCTCAGTTACCTGAACTGCTGGGTTTTGATAATTAAAAATGAGCACTGAATCTTTAGTGAATGTTTTTTTTCCTCAACGTGATTAACTTAAATTTCTTTGACCTGGAGAGAGGTTGCATTGAGAATTTTGTTCTAAGTCCCTTTCTCTTTGTGGTCGGCTGTTTGGCTCGTAGCTGGTGTGTTCTTCGTTTTACACTGAACTCCCAGATATTCAGGTATTCCTGGTTAGACAAATTGCAATTTCAGTGTAAGGAGGAAAATTACGTAATTAGACTTCTTTGAGTAATAAAAAAAAATGCAAGACCTATAAAGGTCACCTTCAAGGAATTTGATGCAGAAAATAATGCTCTGAGATTCTGTTCTAATGTTCTGAGAAGTGCAGTGTAATTTACTGAAATTAACTGAAATTGCAAGAAATTAGTCTGTGGCTTTTGCTGGAGGAAAGGTTCTGAATTTTAGGTGACTCATTACAGGAACTACCCTAGTCGTCCTAGGAAGATTTTTGAATTTTTTTTAAAAGCTATTTTTGGGGTAAACTGTTATATTGGGAAAAAGAAATGGTGATGGTGGCGTGGGCCTGCACCTCTCCTCAGGCAGGCTGCCTGTCTTTAACAGGGAGAAGGACAGCAAAACGCCCTGATTTTCAGTTCAAGCTGACGTTATAATGTGAAAATAATGAAACTTTTATTTAATCAGCTGTTTTATTCCAAATAAATCACTTCGACCGACCCCGTTTCGCTGGTGCACAAATAAAGGCCAGTGCTGCTCCTCGTGGTGAAGGGTCCGCGGCTGCCCCGAGCGGGGCGAGATGCGGGTCCCCGCTCCGAGGGGGGGAAAGTTCTCCATGAACCCACTTTCCCGCTCTCCTCCTGCCTAAAACCGGGGTCCCACCACCCCGGTGAGGCCGAGGGAACCCCCACACCCGGCTCCCTCCCGGGCCGCGCTGAGGAAATGGACGCCCAGTCACGCCCCCGCCTCGTGGGAGCAGTGGCACGGCCCGCCTCCCCCCCGCTGCGGGGTGGTACGTCCCAAGCCTTTATAACCGGCCGCCGCCGACCTTCCCGCCCTTTCTTCCTGCGTGCCTGGGCCATGGTGAGGCGGGCATTGCGGCCCACCGGGGCCGGTTGGGCGCTGCGGGAGGCGGACAGGGGGGAGGCGGAGGCCCGGCTTATCGTTTAGCAGACTGAGGCGCGGGCTTCCCCCCGCCGCCGGCAGTGGTGGGATCAGCCGTGCCTCCCAAAGGTGGCTGGGGCCGGGCCCGACCACGCGGGGCAGCCGTGGGGGTGGGTGAGGGAGAACGTGCGGCCGTTGGTGACGTGCGGGGAGGGGTGTGGCCTCGGAGCACGCGGCGCCTGACTCCCCTTGTCCCCACAGGCCGGCCATGGCGGCGGACACCGGTACCGGAGGCTTCCGGCACCTCGCCAGGGGGGCCGGGACTGCTGGAACGGCTCCCCGGTAGGTTACGAGGCGGTGGGCTGGGGCGGGAGGTCTGGGACCCAGCTCTGTGAGGTAAAACCCCGCAGGCCGGGGGTGGTGGTGCCCTTGCCCGGCTCCGGGAGAGGCCTGAAAGGCTGAGGCCTGTTCATATTGGATTCCTTCCTCTTCATCAACCTCCTGGCTGCTCACAGGCTCCTCACAGCATCGCACGCTGCTGGGGACAGGGTCCTGCTGGGCTTAAGAGTTCCCCAGGGGCTGTGGAGGGAACGCTTCTGTGGTTAGCGACGGGCATTACTTTGCTTTTTACGGATTTTTTTATTTCAATTTTATTTTTATGGCGGTATTTTTAGCCAACGGGTCACTCTTTCTGTTGTCAGATGTGGCTCACACTCTTTCTGTGCAGTGAAAGTCACAACCTGGAAATTGGTGTTACCTGGAATTTCAATTTCAAAATTGCCTTTTTGGTAAATGCGGCCTGGCAGGCTGCATAAGCGAGATTTCCAAGTTTCCTGACAAAACAGTTTAGAGGGGATTGTTCACTACCAAAAGGTGTCTGATGTAAATATTTTGGTGATTCATGATAACAGCGCAAACATGGGTGGAATTGCAAGCAGATTGTTGCTGGTGAGGTTCTGGTTTTTGTGGGATTTTGTTTGGGGTCTTTTTTCTGGATAAGCCTACTTTATAATTTTCTGAAATTACTGCTCAAGAGTATTCAAGTAATGCTTTTTTTGCTTTTATTCCCACAGCAGAACGACGTCCTGAAGTAAACAGTAAGTTAAAGTTTATTTTGTACTAAACTGCAAAACTGTTGAGAAAGTTCCAGGCCTTTACTTACATGCTGGTGGTGTAAAGCTGTTCAACGGAACTGTTAATTGAAAATAATCTGTAATAATCACGTTTTGAAGCAAGTTAAAGAAATAAAAATGAACTAAAACTAGTTTTACTTAAGCCTTTTATAAACAAAGTGGTAAATCTGCAGCTGTTGGTTCAAAATAATACAATGGCTGTGTTTTAAGTAATGGAGTACAGAAGTTGCTGGCTGTTGATGATGATAACCCAGAATAGGAAGTGCCGTCAGATGCGAGAACTGACGATAACCTTCTTATTTGTCTGAAATACAGCTACGTGCACACAGAGTTTGAGTTGTCTGGAAATTTGTCTTCTAGAGCTATTCGGGCAACTTTTCATTAAGCTTGCTTTCTGTGAAAAGTGCTCTTGTAATATTAAATGTAGCTTCATGTCCATCTGTTTCCCTTCATCTGCAGAGCCTGGTCTTTCCAGATAAATGTGACACAACTAGGACTGGGAGCAGGTCGCTCTTTGGACATGGCCCCAGTGTGAAGGTAAGTGACTAATTTTTCTGGACAACGTAGAGATTTATACCAGGTGGAATTATGTTGAGAATAAATGAGGCTTATAGGCTGCTAAAAACTTCAGAGGCTTATTTTGTACCCTCAAACTTTATAGCTTGAATAAATCTGCTTTCCCTCCTCTTCCTCAAAATGTAAAGCCTGGTACTTATTTCCTGGTGTCTTTGCTTACAGGTCTCGGCTGCCATGAGGTGGTTGTTACTAATGTCTGCCAACTAATGTTACAGCTCTTCACAAGTCCTGTGGAAGGAGATGAGAGAGGAAGAGCAGGAAATTCTTCTGGGTGAGTTTAATGTTTGGTGTACTCTTAGTTCATCGTGATGGTTTTTGGCTACGGTCTCAGAAATGTTATCTAGTGGAGAGCATTCTCATGGGCTGCGTTTCTAGTTCTGCCTGTTCTTAGTTCTTAAAGTGCAAATAAAGAAGTTCTAGGTAAATACTTGAACCAAAATATGGACAATAAATTTTTAAGAGCAGCTGTCTTCTGCACAGTTTTGCTGACAGCACTGTAGAGCAAAGGGATAACAGTCTTGCTTCAGCTGGATATGTATCAGTTTACCTAAAGATATCATATGATGAAACTAACCAAAAATTGCTGGAATTACCGGCAGATTGACTGGTGGTGAACAAAGGTTTTCCTGATGATATCTCTTACGTTAACAAATGGGTTAATATTTCGTGTTGAATGGTTCACTCATCCCTGCTGTTCTGTTCCAGGTGTTTGTGCTGAAAATGGCTGAGGAAGAAGGAATCCAATAAAATACGCCGGTGAGGTTGGAGGCTAGTGGTTGTAAACATTACATATTTTTCTGCACTAAGATGTTAAATGGTAACAGTTACAGTTTTCATTACACATATATTAAAATTCTCTCAAAAAACCCCAACTGGGTCTGTTTTTTTTGTCTCTTCACTGCATTAAGAATGACTTTCCATTACACAATATATTTTAATAAACATGCTGAGCACTCCTGTAATTTGCTATATAATATGATAAAGCAGATGTACAGACACTGCAGAGAGAATGCTTACGTGACTAAAACCCAATTACACTATGTGGTGTTTGGTAATTTACTTGCTTTAAACAGTTTAAAGAACTGATAGTACTACGGCTGCTGTAATTACTGGAGAGATTAGGCCTTAAATATCCCTAAAAGCAAGAAGAGCAAATGCAGCTATTCCTGTGGCTTGTTCCAGGCTTGTTATTTTGTCCTTATTTTGGCCTCAACCTTTATTTTCAAGCCTGCTACAGAGATAGCAGAATCTGTTCCTGCAGCAGTAGCGCTCTAGCCCGTGTTCTGCATATTTTCTAAATAAGATGAATTGCCAGATGTGGAGAAAAGGCAAAGACTTGTCGGTGTTCTTCAGTGTCGTTAGTGAGAGTAAAAAATATGATTTTGTGATGACTCATTCTAAGGTTGGTTTACAATGTAGGTTGATAAACAGAAGTTAAAAGGGTTTTGGGGGAGTCTTGAGGACTTAAAATAGAGGTACTTAGATAAAAACACAACCCAGCATCTGAGGCTGAATCTCCCAATTATATTAATGATGTCAGTATGAGTAGCAGGCTATAATGTTTCAGTGGTCTTTATAGGAGGTGTGGAATGTAAGATTCTTACCAAACCTAGAGCGATTGAGCGTGTCCACAGAGACAGACTTTATGCAGACGTTGCTGATCACTTTGCCCACTTGGTGTCACCAGGTGAAAGATTTTAGCACAGTTTTCCACAGCGTGTGCACTTTGAAAAAGGTAAACATCATGAATAATGTTAACTATACATACCCAAGTAGAAGGTATTTTGGGATTGCTTCTGGAAGTGATGAGACTTTTCACCCAATTGGAAGTTTTCCCAAGGAGATGAGGCTAGGGAACAGCCATTCAGGACAGCCAACAAAATGGTCAAAAACGGTATTACTAATTTTTTTCTGTAGTAATGTTGGGGAACAGTTCTTGGCTGCCATAAAACAAAAGGCAGGATACAGCTTTACCTTTGGTTTGTAGTCCATAAAACCACTATCACAGTACAAGCTTGTTTATTTTCATGATGGGACTGAGAAAAAAGTGGTGACAGCGGAACATAAACTTTATTATAAAGTCCTGGGTCACAGGCAAGAATTCAGGGACTGCCTCTGCTGTGACTGCTGCTCTGTGCAATGAGGTAAAGACCCAAATATTACTACTTCCACCTTCTGGCTTGATTACCTGAAATAAAGATGGTGCTAGGGGTTTGTGCTGCCCCTCTGGCCCCAGAGGGCAGTGTCCCTGTCCCTCTTGATAGCACTGTGGAACTGGTGGAACTAGCACATACACCTGTGCTTGGGGCATAATTAGTGTGAAATGTGGCATTTCACAGTTTTCTCATTAAAAAGTCAGAGTTAAGTACTTTGATCACGGAAGAACAGGTTTAATGTTCTTCAGAGAAGTGCCTAATACTCTAATGTGCAGGTAAATTAGTCTGGCTTTTTCCTACAGATGTTAAGGTGGTACGTGAAGGGTTTAATATAAAGATTCAACCTGGGTAATGGAGAGTGCAAAACTTGTTTGCAACTAATTCGTTTATTTTTATCTGAATGTGTATTTGAGCAATATGAAGAAAAGGTTGCTCCAATATTTATTTTAATTAAAATTTTAAAGTAGATTTAAATTGTGTTCTAAGTGTTTAAGGAACAAAACTATTTTTGCCTGTTTTTTTAAAGATCTCGTGTATTAGAACGTGTTGACAGAAGACATTTCTGAGATGATAATGATATGCATTGGAAAAAATATGGTTTTAAATGCTTCAGAAAGAGCACAAGAAATCTGCCTTTTTTTAAAAAAATGAGAATCTGTAAGCCCTTAATGATAATGAAGGTGAGTGTAGCCATATACCCTCATTAAACACAAACAACCAGCAAATTTTTGATTGGCTGTTTAATTTGCTTAAGATAGGTTTGCTGCAGCTTGTTTTTGTAATAGTCCTTGCTTTCTAGTATGTATCAGAATTGCCTCATTAAAATAGAGAAGAATTGATTTGGGAATACTTATGTAAACAGGAAACAGTTTATCTGGGTTTATGGAGGTTGCAATTTGGTGGTATCTATTCTAGTTAACTATTCATGAGTTTCATTTTAGTATTACTTGTTTATTGTTTTCATCAAAACCAAAGTTCCTCAGCAGGGATCCTCTAACAGGCTGGGTTTTGCTAAGAGGAATTAATGTTATTCCTATTAGAATATGGTGCCTTTAGGTGTCCTAAATATATTACTATGATCTGGCACAGGAGCTTATAGAACCGTGCTATTATCTTACAGCGCTTGGGTGGAGGGGAAATAAAATTGTGGTTTGATTACATTTGGAGCAAATTAACTTTCTAATGTTGAGGAATAAGCAACAGGGGGAAAAAAAAATCTGATCTAAAAATACAATTAGTTTGGATTTTCTAAAGGTTTAAGAGAATAGTTGGCAAGAGTCTCTGGCACATAAAAACAGCCGAAAACCATGGGTGAATCTAAAATAGATGAAATGATTAAAGCAGAAAAAAAAATATGAAAATAAGAATGACTGAGTGCCAGTTTTTAGCATTAGGAGATGGCAATGTCATGTGATAATTCATTTATGAGGGAAAACACAGTGATTTTGTATTACCCACAAAATAGGTGCTGTGACCACTGATGGAGACGGCTGCTCTGGGTAGTGGCCATCCAGTTTGTGTCTTTCCTTCTCTACTGGGGCAGTGTGGAGGATGCCAGCTGCAGAAATCACCTCTGTGATGTGAATGTGCACTTACTAGTAACCAGGCTCAGATGCTCGGGCTCCTTTTTATGTGGGGCACTGGAGAGGATGGGATGGGACTGACCCGGAATCTTTGTTCGGGGAATTTGTCGTGTGACTCTGGCAGGAGGCACAAACTGGGGGCAGTTCAAGGGAGAATGGATTCAACTGGGTGTTGTGCAAGGGGTTTCCTCGCACGTGCCTGGGTGGTTTCACCCCTTGGTCTTTCCAGTGGTGCGTGAAAATGATGAAGGACGGGGAAGGGAGTTGAGGTGTGGGTTGTGGTGTTGGGGGGGGGAGAGGTGTGACCCTGCCTTGTGAGTGCTCCTGTGTCCTTCCCGCAAATCACACGCTTCACGTTTCATATAAATGCTGGTTATCGTCATTATGTCTCGATTAGCATTATAAAGCAATCATATCTACATCAGCAGTAAAATAATCACTCATGCAAAACCGTAAATTACTATAATTAATATATCGCAGCTATTAACTAAAATCTAAAGATGTAGTCTCTCTTGGCTTGGTCGCTGCTGTTCCAGCGGGATCAGTTTTAGCTGGCTGTATCCACTTAGTAAGTAGGGAGGAGGGGATATACTGCATATTTTACCTTTCCAGAATGAAACACATCCTGATTTGTGAAACTTCACTCCTTTCCTCTCAAAGGCAGCTGGGAGAACAGTCAGTTTTTCAACCCTTCTCTCCCTCATGTCACAGTGAAGGAGAGACAAGGCGCTGTCAAAGGAGCTGCTGTTTTCTAGCAAGGAACAGCCAAGGTAGTAGTGTTGGGCAAGGAAAATCCATGGGTTTGTTTTCTTCCAGCTGCCACATCAGCAAGTGCTTGGTCTGTGATCGTTTTTGGGATGCTCCAGGCAGTGACTCCTGGTCTCTCTGAGCACGGGGTGAAGGCTCGGAGCAGCCGGGGGGTGTCTGGCCTTTCCCACACCCACCCTGCGCTCAGGCACAGCGACGCCCCCGGCACCTGATGGGCCTTGTGCTGCCAGAGCTTTAAGGCATTTCACATCTTCCTGGAAAGAAAGACAAGGTAGACACATCATTTAGTGTTCTGGTAGGACAAACTGCACCTCATTTTGTCAGTTCATGTAATTTAGTGCCTCAATTTCATGCTTAAAATCAATTTTAGCCCAGATGTCACGGACCGATCCTAATACCGCTTAAAATTGTAAGAATATATCAGGTGGAATTTGATTTGAGGGCATACTTAAAAAAACCAGTAAGCATTTTGTGTTCCTGTACCCTAATGCAGGAGGAGGTAGAATAACCTCTCCCTGTTTTCCCACCCGGGGTGAGCCCACAAGATGGTGCAGTGCTCGAGTCCAGAGCAATGATTAGAGAGAAAAAAAGATTTTGCAACCTTGGGAGATGCTTGTTTGGGGAAAGGTGGTTTTCCTGCTGGTTCCTCTCCAGTTGTCTAATAAGATTTGCAACTTTCATTAACGTGCAGAGAATCCCCCGCGCAGTGACAACATCACTCTTTAATTGGCTGTTAATAAGGTTCCTTAGTGTAGGACCAGCAAGGGCTGAGCCTCCGTTTTCTTCGGCACCGTGCAAACCAGTCGCTGTAATGGTCCCAGCCCCAAAGGGTTTCTGGTCTAACCAGACAGCAGTGACCCAAGAGTGTATGAATAAACAGTGTGATGGGGAGCCAAAGGAGTTAAAATGTGGTTTTCTTGAGTAAAAATAAAAATATAAAATCACCTTTCACTCCAATGCCTGCAGCTTCTGGACCTGCAAGCCCGGCTGCTGGCCGAAGCCCTGTGGGGGCTCCTGAGTGGTGGGTGTTGAGCTCCAGCTCAGCTGAAGTCAATAAACACCTCGCAGCCCAGCACCTGCGCGGGGAACTGTAAAACCTGGGCAAAACACAAAAGAGGAAATAATTTGTACGATGGAGACTGAATTTGCAATCCCTGCTGTTTTAATCAACTTGAAATGTTTAAAGTTTCATCTCCAATAATTAAGACCTTTCCTGTACATGCTTTTTTTTTTTTTTCCTGTTAGTATTTTTTGCAAGTCAATACTTAGATTTTTTTTTTTTATAACTGGGTTTTAATTTGTAATGGTTTGTGGTAAAATAATTGCACAGCACAGCCGCAACACAAGTGCTCTAAACAA